CAAATTTAGAATCAACTTAAGTTGCTTTTAGATTTCGTATCAACTTAGGCCACATTTGGAATTCCGTTTCAACCTAAGTTGATTCCGAACCCATCATAATTCCGTTCCCACGTACGACATGTATATTACCATTAGAATTAGGAGTTATAGCTGATCAGTATAGTATTAGGGTGGTAACTCAATTAAGTGATCAAAACTATTCTACGTAGCAATATTAGTATTTTTATTATGATCAGATTTTTTATCAGCGAAATTAAAAATGATCGATTAAATTTCATTTTACTTGATTTAATTAATAAGAAAAGCACAAAATTCTAAATAATTCACCTTGATATCGCGCTTCTCTCTAATTTTTATTTAACTGAAAACTTTTCGCAAGGACTATATCTAAAAAGTTACGTTTGATTTTGGCGAAAATTCTAGTAAAGTTTCAACTTGTATGTTTAAGATACAAATTTTTTCGCTCTAATTAATGAAATTTAGATGTTTTATAAGAAAAAAAAGGGGAAATCAACAAAAAAAAGATTTGATAATAAATCATAAGAAATTGCAAATTTTGAAGAGCTATACTGCAAATTTTTATTAATACAACCACTTTTGTGTCTTAAGTAACAAATAATCCTGATCTTATTTTAAATTAATTTATGCAAAAAAATTAATTTTAAATTCTAAAACGTAACTTTATTCTCCTACATATAATAAACCTCTAATAAAAATTTCTAGGTAATTCCTTGAGTTGAATCATTTTAAAGTTGATTAATTTTTAATAAATATATTAGCAGTAATTAACGTTAAATTGATATTTATCGCTATGGCAATAATTAAATTGATTTTCATTCAAATTCCATAGTTTGCTCACATAGTTTTGTTGAGTTACCACCTAGTATAGTATGGTTTTTAATTTTGGTCTGGGCACGGGATACATTGATCGTGAAAATTTCATTCATTACGCGCACGAATGTTACACGAATATGCAATGGTTGATTCCCGTGTAACAATTCTAATTTTATAGACTGATTTTACATATTACAGAGATAGTTACGACGAAAAACAGCGCCAAAAGGAAGCCCGTAACGCTCTGTTCAATAAGAATCGTAATCTCAATTTTTCATCACTTGCTGATGACGCATCAAAACGTGATGTAGCTTTTGAAAGTGGCCCTAACGATCCCAATGAAGCTGAAGACGAGATTTCTACAGCAATGGACGCTGTAGCTATTGGCCGCAAAGATAATTCACACAAAGCATATTATAAAGAATTCCAAAAGGTCATTGAAGCTGCTGATGTTATATTGGAAATTTTGGATGCTCGTGATCCGTTAGGACATAGGACCAAACAGGTTGAAAAGATGGTTGATTGTAGTGGATCTACGAAGAGGATAGTTTTGGTTCTAAATAAAATTGGTGAGACATATGTCAAATTTTCTGGACAAATGGCATATTATTATTTGATGCATACTAACAATAATTTGATTTGTTTATCGATTAGATCTTGTCCCCAGAGAAAATGTCATGCAATGGCTTGAGTTTCTATAAGATGTTCGAGACATTATCAATGTTTAAGTTAAGCTAACTTTTGTTCTTTAAAGTTTAGAATTCTTACTCTTATGAACCATCAGAAATTTGAAAAAAAAAAAATTTTTTTTATCGTTAGATTTACAAATTTTTATTAATCAAAAAATTTTTCTAACCAATTAAAATTTAAACTTGTGACGTTTATCGATGGCGGTCCAAAAAGGCACTACTTGAATAGTACGCGACAAATTTGTACGTAGATTCTACTTGAACAGTCGCATTCTGATTGAATGCAATTAACTATTAAACTATCTAAAGTCGATAAGATTTTTTATTTTAATTATACATTCATATAGAATCAAATAAAAAAATTTC